ACAGGGAGGCTCCCTGATCCTTGTAAATTGTAGGAGCATGTGATGGATGGGATTGCAAGAGGTGTAAAAATGTGTATGTGACATGGCTAAGAACAAATGCCACCAGGGTCAGTGGTATACAGTATGAAGATGGGCCGGGGGGGGCAGTAAAATTTGGATTGTTTTTAGACAATGCAAGGGGAAAAGAACAGCAAATTCGAACATTGCTGTAAGCAGTGACGATTGATGTTTTGCAAAGAGCAGTAATTAAATTTGCACTTATAAATTAAATCCTCATGCCCTGACAGCAAATAATTCATTGTTGAGTCTCCAGTTATTTCCCTTCTTATGCATTTTTAGTGAATGCAGTAATGTCTCTTGAACACTGAGCATCAAACTGTATTAGGTGCTTTGGTCTCACCACAGCCCTGGGGGTTTTTACAGGTGAGGCACCTGAAGGCCAGTTATGTAACTGGCTCAAAGTCACAGAGCTGGTAAGTGATAAAATCAGATTCATCGGACTCTAAGACTTACAGTCTTTTCATTTTGTCCTCAAATTAACAATAGGTATAAAGACCACACGTGGTTAAGACCCAGGCAGTCATTCAGTCTATATCCCAGCCCAGCTGTATTCATTTCTGTGACCTTGGACTAGTCTGTAACTCTCAGTAAACCTCAGTTTCCTCGCCCACAAGATGGCAAGAATAATAGTACCTCCTTTGTAGGGTTGTTGTGAGTAAGATGATGAGATAATCCATGTAAATAACTTAACATGATAAGCACTCAACCGATTGGGGTTATTTTTATTGTCTTTTATACAACCCCTACCTCCGGCTTGCTCTTGGTCATAGTCTGTGCCAATCATTTTATGTGCATGATCTTTTCAGTAGCTCTGTGAGGCAGATGTTCGATTCCCATTTGCACAAGGGAAACGGGCTCAGAGGGGTTAAGATGCTTGCCCAAGTTGAACCCAAGTCTGTCTAGCTCCGAAGCCTGTTTGCTTTCTACCCACATGACTGTAAATTTCTTTCTTGTATTTTTTGTGGCGATGTGACAGTGATGCCAGTGGCAATGACGGTGAGGTCACTGCAGCTGTAGTTGTCGCCCATGGAGTAAACAGAAGCAGGACGCAGCCCAGGGCTGATTGACGGCAGAGGCCCCCCCACCCCCACCACCCGACCTCTCTTGCATGGCTTCCCGGGAAACAGTTGCTTGGGGTTTATGGGTCTGCTAATTCCACCTATAGGAAGCTTGAAATTGGGGACACTTGGAAGTGTTATCCAGAGTTATATTTTTATTTTACAGCCTTATTCCCCAGTAGCTTGCTTCTAGAAGGCTTACCGTCTTCCTAGTAACTTCTGTTTCTAAAGCATTCCTAAGTCATAATTAATTTGTAAGTTTGGGCAGAATTAACAGGGCACATGGGGCATAGAACAAATCCCCCGCCCCTTTTGTGTTAATTTGGAAAGTCTCTGTGAAGTGAGTAGACTGTTCCAGCCACACGGAAGAGCTGCATAAACTCACTTCTCATAGATTGTATGAGCTTACTCGTGCATCGTTCAGCAGGGTCATTTGTACAGCAATTCTTCCTAGCAGGATGCAGGAAACTTCATTTGATTCTCTTGAAATCATCTCTTCCAAACAAACTAGAATTGGAATAACCAAAGAAATTATGAATAATTCAGATTCTTTTCAGAATTCCATCGGGAGCTTTTAGTCCAGAGGTGAAACTCTTGGCCTGGCTAGAAAGTGGCCAGACAATAAGCAGCCTTTAAACAATATGCATGCGTTCAAGTTCAGAGTTGAATGAACAACAGTCATTTGGGGAGTGATTTCCCAGACTCCCTGATGAAAGCCTGTGTCGTCTGCTCTGACTTGGTCTGATTTAAAAGGGCGCCCTTGCACCTTAGAAAAGTATGTCATAATAGTGGTGACAGTCCCGTGTCTGGCACTTCACATTTTGCAGCGGGCTCACTTGCACATTATTGCATCTGACCCTGAGAACAGCCTCCCCAAAGCCCTTAAAAGCCTGCGCTTGGCTCGTGGGGAGACCCAGAGAACTAACCTTCGGGACTGCAGTCCTCGCCCACCGCAAAATCTCCTTCTAGAACTGATCCCAGGATGCTCGAATAGTTTTTGTCTTAGAGGGAACAGCCAATGAAATAAAAATCTCATGTGGCCTCATGCCTCTTCCTGCTCGGCTGTGTGTAAACATTGTTTTGGAAGCAATTTTTCACGCATCTGTCTACATCCACACTCCTTCCTCACAACTTACTCTTCTTTGGTTCTCCAGCATTTGTGACAGTTTTTAGGAAAGCATAAGCGCTCACATGTTTGGTGACAATTGAAATGAAACATTATCTTTGTTCCCATTGTATTGGGGCAAGGCTCTCATTCTCAGTAACTCATTAGGAAAAGAGAGACAAAACCTGGGCCACCAGGCATAGGGCCTGCAGGCCTAGCACAGCCTGAATTCATCTTCACGTGTTTTTAGGTAGGGATTGCTGAACATGGCACTTTAGGCGTGCTGCAGAGTGGTGCTAAGAGACACCGTTACTTATAGAACTCTGTACTTGTGGGCTTAGGGGCACTGACCTCTGTAGTGAAGATTGGCTGGAAAAGATGAACTGAACGAATAATGACTGCCGAAGACGTGAAGCCTGCCGGTATTAAACTTCAGCCCTAAGGTACCTGTCCCAGCCCCCTCCTGTGTAGCAGTGTGACAGGTCAGCAAATCTCTGGTCATAGAGTGGCCACTCTACTTACTATGTTGAGTTGGCGTATGGCTTAGAGATAAGTCATATGAAGTACCTAGCACAGTACCTGGCAGGTTCAAACACTCACCTGTAGGAGCAATGTTTAAATAAATGTCAGTGATAATGGTGCGCAGTTAGGCTGTGACCTGGGAGCAACCACGGCTGTGGTCCTTGAGTGCAACAACCACCATGATTTCTTTTCTCTCCCCTTGCAGATACCCAAAAAGAGATTGGGGACATGCGTAGCACCAGTCCTTATTTTTAGGGGTGCCAACTCCTCTGGAGATCAGGAGGTTTTTGTTGTTTTCACTCTAAGTCCCCTTACCCCCTTGCCCCAGTGAAACTCAGCTATGTAGCAATTCAGTTTATTTTGTTGAAAATTCAGTCCCCTAGAGAAAATATGATAATGCTGTTTTCAGACAGCTGTGTTTGGGAGCAAGACGGACTTCACCAGCTGCCTGGCATCATTGGAGCCCAAGGACCTGCCAACCCATAGAGAGCAGCTGTTTTGGCTGAAATTTTTATCATTCTTATGACTTTGCTTCCTATATTGTCAGCTTCTGAGTTCTGCTTTTAAATGAATGCACAGAGGAGAGAGGGCCATGAGAAAGGCTCTGATGTGTCTGGGGGGCCACCCATAGCTGAAGAGAGTGGGGTGCCTCCGCCACCCTCTTGTTACTCATGATTGTCGGGAAAGAGAAAATCTAGAAGGAGGTTAGCTCCAAAGAGTAAGATGATAATGAGTGGATCGATAAGTATTGACAATGTAGTAGAGGTGTTATGCAACCATTAAGAATCATGTTTGAAAATTTTTTTGATGAAGGGGGAAATATTACAATATAATGTTAAATGAAATGTATAGATACAATCCTGTATAGAGAATATAATCCTCAAAATGGAAAAGTATGTTTTAACATTATGTGAGATAATTCATACAAAGTACTTACCCCAGGGCCTGGCGTGGCAATCAGTAAATCACAGCTACTGAATACAAACTCTAACCCCAGAGAACATGTTTACCTTACACACTGTTATACTCAGAGTGCCTGGCATAAAGTAGCTGCTCAAGAGATCTTTCTTGATTGAATGAATGAGTGTTGTTGTTATATGCATTTAAAAAGGAATCTAGAAAATCTAGGGACATAGGTTTCTTTCTAAGTGATCAGCTCTAATTATATCTATGATAGTGGCAGCTTGACCTCTCTGCCTCAGGCCTTCATTATAAATGGTGAGGACAGTACCTGTTGCTCAAAGTCACTGAGAACAGAGAGCTACCTGTAAACACAAGCGGTGACTGGTCCCTTGGGAGCCAACATTGAACGATGGCTCCTGTAATCATTGTAAGTGCCATATAAGTGGTAGCTATTATAATGATTCTGCTACACATGTAGAAAAAGATAGTTGTCATGATTTTTGTCTATCATGTTCTTCACATTTTTTACCTTGGGATTTTTTCTTTTAAAAAAAATAAATAAAAGCTTAAAAGATAAAAGTTCATTTAAAAAAAACAAACCTCAAATGCTCACAGTGGCTATCTCTAAGTACTGGAATTGGGAGACTTTTTCTGTTTTCTTCTTGATGCTTTTTTTCAAATTGCCTGTAGTATTTATATGTTACTTTTATCATCAGAAGGGAAAAAAGAAGCCCTTCCCTCCTCCCCCTTTCAAATAAGAAAGAAAAAAAAAAATGCTCAGCATCAAAGATAATACAGAGCTGCCGAAATAGAAAGGATGCCCCCTTTGATGACGGTGGAGGACTAGGAAATGGTGCCCTGCCCCAGGCTTCCTTTTGGAGGGCTATTTAAATGTATGTTTCACATTCTGAGAAATTGTGAAGCAAACATTAAGAACTGGGAAATAGAAATAATGAGGAAAAGTAAAAGGATTTTAATTAATTGGTTCTGGACAAAGGTGGTCACAAAACTTTAAGTTCTGTTAACAGACAATGGCTTATATTTAGCACAGCTCCTTTCCATTTCCCATGAAAACAACGACAAAAAGAAGATGAGTGGGAAGTATAGCCGAAAGGGGTTAGCAGTGGAAGTAAATGGTTACCCAACTCTGGGATGCGCTTGCGAAGGAGAATGTTTAATGCCAGTTCCTGGAGATATTTAAAATAAAGTCCCAAGCAAACACTGGAGGTCTTTTCAAGTCTTTTTCTTGCGGATTCTTAGCCACCACCAAGCTTTCAGTTGTACTGGTTCGGCCTGTGTTCTCCCCCCAGTTTGTGGCAGCATGTAACCGTTGTGTGAAATTTTACTTGCAGATATTTAACACCGTGCCTGATATGCCTCTCACCAACGCCCAGCTGCACCTGTCTCGGAAGAAGAGCGGTGACTCCAAGCCCCCGTCCTGCAGCGAGAGGCCCCTGACGCTCTTCCACGCTGTCCAGTCAACAGAGAAACGTGAGTCCCGCTGCTCGGGGCCAATGCAATGCTCAAGGGACCTGCCATGCCGCCTCCTGGCTGCCCAGGGGGCACACCTCCAGCCTCCCTCTGTGGGCTGCCGCCTTTTGTGTCCTTGAGGACTGGGTAGCATGGTGCCCTCCCGGGGGTGCTGTGGCTATGTAACCCTAATAGGACAGGAAGCAGTATTGCTGAGAAAGAAAGGCCAGGGCCACTCGCTGTGCAGGATTCTCTTGCCAGATCTCCTGCCGGCAAACAGCTGAGCCTCTCTCTCCCTCCTCTGCACAATGAAAGCTCAGCTCAGACATCCTTTCCTTTCCTCAGTCTGTAATTAGATGCTTATTAGTGCGAGTCACATGCCCCACTGCAGTGTGAGTCTGTGAAGGCAGGACCTTGTTTTGCTCGTCCTTCTGCTCCACCTCTCACAGGGCCTGGCATGGAGTGGACACCTCATAAATATGTGAAATTAATTAATGAATTAATCACAGAATAATCCTCTCCTTGTTCCTAATAGCAGTGCAATCAAGCGATTGTGTCAAATCTTTTTTTCATCTCAGGATTTCTGAGTTCTTTGCATTGATCAGGCCACGGTGCCCTAAACTACCCGGTTTTGTTTAGCATTCGTGAGGAGAGCATTAGATAGGAGTTGACAGGAGTCGAGGGCTCCTGCTCTGCCTGAAGTCTGTCAGACCCGGGCTCCTGTGTCAGCAGCAACACATGGCAAACTTTTACTTTCTCTCGGCCTCGGTTTGCTCATCTGTAAAGTAGGGATAATACCTCATAGGGAAGCCGTGATGATTAAACAAAGTTATGCATTTAAGCATCTGGCACAAGGCCCAAACATGACAGGGGCTGACTGCTGAAAGCTGCTGCTATTATTATTATTATTAGTGATTATTTAATCCCATGCAGATACCAAGGCTGGCTCATTCACACAGCTGACATTTACAGGCTGTCTGCCACAGACGAGGAGTATAAAAATACGACCTTGTCTTCAAGGAGCTCACAACCAAGTAAGGGAAGCCGACAGGTGATCAGAGAGATAATGGCAGGTCGGCGCATAACTGCTCTGGTAGACATGTGGCCCTTCAGAGACGTGGGGGGATATGCTGGCACCAGATGGCCTGGGCGCAAGTTCCGCCTCACCGGCTCTGTGACTGGGCAGGTCATCTAAGCTGTAGGGCCTCGGTCTCCCCTTCTGGGAAACTGGGCTGCTAACACTTACTACCTCACAGGGCTGTGGTGAGAACTAAAGTACTTCACATGGAACCGGTGCCGAGTAAGTGCTCATTTCCTGCTGGGAGGGGTGGTATTACTACTACTATTACTGCTGCTGCTACTAGCATTGCTGCTGCTGCTACAATACTACTAGTACTGCCACACTACTACTACACTATTGCCACTACATCACTACTGCTGCTACACTACTACACTACTACATTACTACTACCCTACTATTACTATACTACTCCACTACTCCTCCACCACCACCACCACCACCCCCACCACTGTTATTACCACTACTACCAATCTCCGTGAGGTACAATAAAGGCCCAAGGGCAGAAAAATGACCCACTTTGCCTTCAAGAGAAGAGGCTCCTTATCAAGGTGGCATCTTTCTCTCTTTGTTACAAAAAAATGATGTTTGGCCCCTTGCCTTTCAAAACTAATGGCCTGGGCTGGCCGAGTGGCTCAGTTGGTTAAGAGCTCACTCAAGAGTTTGAGCTCTGAGCAACAGCGGTTCAATCCCCGGCCCAAGCTGAGCAGCCACTGAGCTGCCAACAGGTGGCAGGATGGCTCAGCTAAAACAAACAAACAAACAAACAAACAAACAAACAAAAACCTCATGGCCTTCACCACCCCCAGAATATCACACTTTTAAAGATATCATAGTATTTGATAATATGGTTGCACCTCGGTGTATTCCACACTATTTGAGTGTCTCAGATATTTTGCATTTATGAGTAAAGCTACTATTATGATCTTTGTAGCTAAATCTGATTACATTCATGATCATTTCCTTAAGATAAATTCCTGGAAGGATTTCTAGGTCAACGGATATACACAATTTTAGGGCTGACCCTGTACCGGGATTGGCTTCCCTTCAAATGATATAGCCTGTATTCTTCTTGAATATGTGACTTGGGTCATTCTCACTGCTCGTGGTCTCCTCGTGGCCTGGGCCCCTCCACACATACCAGGGAATGCTGGCAACAGACCTGACCTCACCCACAGCTGCCACAAACAAGACATTGGGCTGCGGTGTGATAGGCTTCTCAGGTTTCCAGGAGAGCCGCGGTCACCTAATGTTTTGTACTGAGCGTGCACAGTGCAGACTGGGACAGATCAGACAGTACTGGTGAATTTTTCTAAGCTTAAAATAGTGCCGAGTTTGTGATGAGCCTGAAGCAGAAGCCGTTTTGGAACAGGTCTGAAAGCATACTCTAGGAGCATATGAGAAAGAAGATGGAGATTAGGAGAAAATCAATTAGATCTTTGCCCAAGATTAATTTTATCACACAGGCAGAGGATGAAAGTTAAGGATGTGTGAAAGCAGACCTGCCTAAGCTGCAGAACAAGCTGCCGTGTTCCCGTCTGGGAGGGAGGGTGGAAGACAGGAAGAGGGTGAAGCAGTATCACTTCCCTCTGCTCCCTGGAAACAGGACTGAAACCTCCACCTGCTTGGATATTTGTGGGGAGCTTAGCTTCCCCCCTTCCTCAGAGAAGAAACATTTCAGTAGAAACATCTTCATTGAAAAATATATAGGTGTGTGTTTATACATACATTTTTTATGGTTTGGTTTGGAAACGCCCTTTTTTCTGGGAAACTTGAATGATATTGGAGCTGGCTTGGAAAGCACCATAGCAGGAGGGGGGGTGTTCATGCTGTGAGGAAGACTGCGCCAGGAGCTGGAAGGTTCTGCCGGCACTAGTCCTCATAGTTTGTAATCTAGCCACCCATCAGTGTTAGGGGAGCCTGGAAGATTGTTCACACACCTTACCCTTTCCTTTGGTCTATAGACAAAAGAAGACTACTTTATCAAAGCACTTTGCTGAGTTTATTCTTTGGGATTAAAGTATAGATAAAGACCCTGCAGGTAATTTGTTGGGGGGGGGGTTGTATTTCTGTAATAATTATATGAATTCCATAATAGTAATTGTGTATTCTAGAATAACGATGTTTTCCAATTGGAGGCCTCTTTCTATACCTAACTCAGTACTTCCCAAACTTGAATCATTTGCATAAACCTTCATTTACTCTTTGAGCCACAAGCACATAACTCATGCACTGTTGTTTGTTTAAAGCATTTCTTTATATTGATTTTCAAGCAACTCACTTCGTTACATCACCTATTCCTACTTAGTGAAACCTCTAAAAACATGAGTTTGATGGTCTCACGGTACTATTCTCTAATATAATTTAAATAAATATGTAACCATTAAGATAAAGAATGTTCATCCACATCCAGCCTTAGAATCATCTTGTGTCCTGCTTGTGGAATGGACGTCACAGTTTGGAGTCCACAGACTGTGCTCTGAATTTTTAACTAACTCAGTTTTTTCCTCTTAACTGTTCATACACAAACCCAAGTTTCTCTTGTCCACCTGGTTAGAATTGGGTTCAGATGTTGTCAGTTGGTTGTTTATATTGTTGCAGACGCTCCGTGTCCATCTGTCAATTTCATGCTGTGCACTTTGGGACACTGTGACACCCGTCCAGGTCTGATGTGACCTTGCTTTTCTTCAGGCTCTTGCCACAGAGGACATATCTTGTTAGAGGAATTGTGCTCGCGCGCGCGCGCGCGCACACACGTACAGCTACACATACCTGCCCTCTGCCTTCAGAGCTGGCATGATATTTCTCAGCACCTCATTTCCTCTTCTGTCTGTGTGCCTGATCTCTTTTGAGTTCAGTTATGCTTTTTCTTCTCATTGATGTGCATGCAGTTCAATACTTTCTCTGTATTTCGTTGGTCAGCCCTCTCTTTAATTCCTAGTTGAGATGCTTAAAGGGCCTGACACTCCCAGAGTAGCTCACTTGGATACTGCCATTGTCACTGTCATCACATGTATTGCTCCCACCTCTGCAGCACCCCTGCTCTGTACAGAAGCCGGAGCCCACTCTTTTCTCTCATAGGTGAATCTGTGCCAGTACTCTTGGCCTCAGATTGTCGCTTGCCTCCCTCTTCTTAGAAAACTCCCGAGAGTCACCTTCCGAGCTCATAGGCTCAGTGCTCTGTCTTTGCATCTGCTCTTCAGGCTTATGGAAATAACTGACATGTTGGTTGTGTGTCTTACTTTCCAGGAGTTTTTTTCTCCTGTGTCGGTAGACCAGTTAGGTGCCCAGGCACCTGCGTAAGACTCTCCCACTTTAATCTAGGAGTGGTGGTGGAGTCTTCGCCAGGTGGCTTTTTTCTTTCTCCATAAAGGTAACGTTGTCTTTAGGCCGGCAGTGGCCTCTTCCCAGAATGAGGAGCTGGGTGCCTTCTCATGCTCTGTGCTGAGACTTCGATCAGTCACAAGGCAGCATGCGGCTCCTCATAGATACGTGGGGCTAGGAATGAAATGGGGGTAAGTCTCTGAGATCAAAACATGGGAAAGAACAAAGGAAATGATGGGGGAAATGCAGGATGTAGAAACCATCATAGCAACAAACGCAAATCATTTGGAAACCACTGAATATTGTAGTGAGGAAGGGACTAGATATCCAAGTGGTCTGTAGCTGGTCAAGGAAGATTTTCTGAAAGGGGGAAGTTTGAGAAAAACAGTAAAGGAAATGAGGGTCGCAGCTTGGCCCAAAGGACAGGAGGATAGTCAGGAGTGCTTAGCGGAGGGAGCACAGCGAGAGTCTCTCTGTACGTAGCCATGGGGAGCGCTCGTTTCTAGCACCGAGGAGAGGACTGTGCGAAGGTATGTTCTCAAACTGAACTTGGAAACCGTTTTCCCGTAGAAACTGACTTTTTATTTATATGTCTAATATATATGGCTACATATTTTAT